TTTTGTACAGCACTTCTTGTAAAAGCGAACGTCGGACGGACAATGTCACCACCAGCTAGCTACCGTTGCTGAGCCACCCCCAAAAACTCAGTGTGTGTTATTGCTCTACGCCTGGCATTGTCCGCCGTTACGCCATAGTCAAGACCCCCGCCCCCGCACAACCACCCTCTCTCTGTCCGTATGTCCGTCCGTTATCCATTGCGTCCGTTTGTCCGTCCGTCTGTCTCTACCCTGCCTGGACCAGCTTGGCGCCTTGCCAATGAAAGGGGAACAGCAGACCAAACGGGTCCTTGTCCTTGCAAATTTATTGTGTTACCCACGCACGCGACTTTGGCGCCAGCGGGTTAAGGTTTTCTTTCGCTTTTCTTGGCTTTTCACTTGGCACTTGCACTTGAAGAAAATACTTAGCTTCTGTATTGGGTAAACACTTTAAATAGGAAGCTATATTTATGGTTAAACGTTTAGCTTAAGTTGGCCATTATTGGCTTGGTTAGAAACTAAAAATGAAAAGCCATTTCCCTCTAGCAGCAGCTGCCTTCACCTGTCTTCTTCTTCTCAATATTAAAAAGTTTTCACCATTAATTTGTGTGTGCCATCTGGTGGGTAGGCGGCAGGCGGGTCTACAAACATACAAAGCTGTAATTACTTTTCCAATTGTTTTTGCTTTGTTTGGAAAATGGCATTCAAATTTGCAATTTGTTAGCCAATTTTCTATTTATTTTTTTTTTCTTTTTTTTATGAATAATTAATATGACTATTAAGTTGTTGATTAATTTAAATCATTTTTGTTTTTTATGATTTTTAAACAATTTTAAATTGAACTTAAACTTTCTCTTTTCCTGCAGTGAGTCTTGTATAAGAATAAGGCCTGTGTTTGGCTTTTCTTTTCGTCTGCCTCGAAATTTTCCTACTTTCTGGGTAAGTTTAACAAATTCAGGGGGTGGTAGGGGGGTAGATTGTGCCTTTCTTCATCATTCAATTTTTAATCAGTTGGGCGCAATCTCGCCGGAGAAGAAAAGTCAACCAGGAACCGGGAACCAGGCGAAAACGCTGCTTCATTCAAGCAAACTTCTGACAAATTTCCAACTTGCCCTCGAGAGCTTGTGTTGTAGGGGAGAGGGCGGGCTGACCCCTGACCTCACACCCCTCATCCTAACCCCTACCGCCTCCCCTCCTGCACTCCCTCTGTTTAAATAGAAATGTTGTTCATTTGAGTACTTTGTGTGCGGCTTGGCTTGGCTTGGCTTGGCTTTTTATTATGGCTAAGTGAATGTTTATGCCCGATTTCCCCCAGCACATGTGCTGGCTCCCCTTCTACTTTCTCCACCTCCCTCACAATCCTTCTTCTTCCTGTATGGCTCCTTACTTCTTTCCTCTCTTCCTTCTTTTCTTCTCTTCCTCCTTTCCTCCTTATCTCCATTGTCCGGCAATGGAATCCCCAAATCGTCCTTGCCGAGATCCATTTTCATATTTGCCCAAAAGCTGAAAAGCAGACGGTTTTTCCCCCCTTATTTTCGATTTGGCTCCTCCTTCCCTCCCTACGATTTCATTTCAAGTTTTCTCCTTTTTCCACTCTTTTTCCCTTCCTCTTCCCCTTCCTCCCCTTTTTTTTTGCTTTATTAGCCGGCGCAAGTTTAAAATGTTTTATTATTGTTGGCAACATTTAAACGATTCTCGTCGCTGCAAAAGGGAAATGCCAAATGGCTTTGGCTTTGGGTTTGTGTGTGAGTGTGTGTCTGGAAAAGGGTTACAGTTTTTCACAAGAAGAAGAGGGGGCGGAAAATGGCAACCGACTGACTGACTGACTGTCAAATCGAGTGTGCACAAATCGTTTGCAGATAGACTTGCCCCAGGACCAGTTTTGGGTCACATATGAGAGAAGCTGGCCAAGAGCAAGTACGAAGGATATTGCCCATTTTGTTGGGCAAGAAGTAGAGGAGAAAGAGGGTTTAGGGTCAAGGGTGAAATTCTAATACAGATGATGATGATGATGATTAGATGTCTGGCATACAAACTTTCGTCTGGTGTAGTAAAGAGAAAATAATGCTAACAAAAAAATGAATGTAAACCTTCGAGAAAAAGTCATCGTCGTCTTAAATAAATGAATAGGTTTAGGGCTGGAAAAGTGGAAAGAGCGAGGCTTTTCTACTTAATATTTTACTCAGCTAAAAGGGAAAGGAAAATCCTTAAAGAAGAGTTGAGTTTGAAAATTTCAAAAGTTAAAAATTAAAATAATTTCCTAGTGGAAAGTAAACTTAAAGTTGATTTTGCTAGCTTAACTTAATTCAAGGTGAATGCTATCTATGCTAGGGAGCCCGACCGAATGAATGGGCTTTATGAATAGATTCCAGCATTCATTCAGAGAAAGCTGGCATTCTTGGCCAAATTCATAAATGAACTCTGGAAAATCTCCCTAGAAATGCGATTGAATAAGAATTGCTATATATATATAGTATATAGTATATAGTATATATATATATATGTCAGGGGAACCTCTTGATCCATACACTCGGTCACTTATTCATGAAGCGGCAATGGACCATTCACACACACTCACTCAGCTCACTCGCTCTCATCTCATATCATGCATCCATTCATTCAAACGGCATTGAATGCACCCGACGAGTTTCCCTTTTCAGTGATTTTCCTCCTCCTCCTACTCCTCCTCCTCCTCCTCCTCCTTTTACTGTTGTTTGGCTTTCTCCTCTCCCGTTGCGTTTATTTCACATGCTACTTAACACCCGAGGCAAATTAGTTGCGCCTCGGCGCAGTTTCGAATATAAATCAACACGCGGACAACGGCAGCGGCAACAGCAGCGTAACAACAACATCGAATGGCAAAGTAGGAAATGGTTGGAAAAAGTCAAGGAAACGTTATAAGGGATACCCTGGAAAGTTGTTTTGTATAGTTAATATGTATCTAGAAGGTGTAAAATAAAAGTTAATTTAATGAAAGTTACTTGGAAAAGCCCTCAAATGTAGCCTACTTTTAGGTGCTGTTCTTAATCTTTGATTGATATATAAATCTTTCACCAGATATAGCCAATCTTTATCTGATTAATAATCAAAGCTCTGATCTACCTAACTTATTTAACATTTAGCATTCCCTTAACCCTTTATTTTCCATTTTTTTAGCTAACAAACCAAAGTTAAAGTCAATCTAAAGCCTCTTCAAACTATATTTTTCCCCATTCAATCTCATAACATCAATAATACCCTGTAAAAATTGTTTGGCCTTTGGAGCCATTTCCGAGTTTTTCGCAACAGATTTTTTATGGCCGCTGCTGTCGCCGTTGCTGTTGCTGCCACCGAAATGCGAGAACGCGCTCAGGAAGAACAGGAAGGAACGCGAAGAGCGTGCACCCTGCGGCTGCCACACATGTGCGCGCGCGACCCTGCCCTCGAGGGCTGAAGTGTGTGGCTGTTGGCCCTCCCCCACACACACACAGCCACTTTTCCATTTCCAGCTACCACGACCTCTCTACCCCTCAGAACGCACTCTCATTGCATCCCCTTGCGAACCCTGTCGAATTGCATAGAGCATAAAGCATCCTTGCACTGAGAGAAAATGAGTTTGCGGAACTGGAAGTTTGTTAGTTTTTAAACATTTTTGTTATTAACTAAAAAGTTTGTTAAGAAATTATTTAAATTTAATATTTTTTTTATCAAAAAATATAAAAATATTGTAAAAAGAAAGTTAAATTCTGGAAATTTCTCATAGAAAAATGTATTTTAAGGCCTAGAAAACCTTGTCAAGGCTTAGAAAATCTTTCTTAACTTGAAGCAGCTTTTCCCTCCCCTTTAACCCCCCCATTTTCTCTCAGTGCATCCTCGGTTTGTACGCACAATTGTGCAAATTGACAGATTTATAACAAAATGCAATGAATAACGGTATTATTCACACACCACGAGCACTAGGTAGTGGGTGGGGGTGGATTTAAGGGGGTGCTAGTTGCATCTTCTGGCTCTGCGGACATTTCAACAGGCGCCTTAATGTTCTTCTGCCCACCTCCCCCCCTCTTCCTGCCACCACATCTATTATTTCCATTCGTACACCCAATTTTCTCATCCTCAAAAAAAAAAAATGCCGGGGGAAAATTCTGGTTAATCCCCGTGACCAGTATAAAAATGGGGGCATATGTGGCCCCTTGAAATGCTTTTCCCGCTTTTCCCACACCCAAAACCAAAAAAAAAAAAAAAAAAGAAGCAAATTGATGAGCGAGATGAGGATTAGCCCAGTTTCGGTTATAAATGAATTTTTCTTATTTTTCGGTCAGAGAGGAAAGTATATATATATATATATATATCGTATATATGGCATATATACAGGGATAGAGGGGGAGGAAATCTATGAAGTTCAATCAGTTTTAATTGATTCATTTCAGCGGCAAAGGGATGAAAACATTTGCCCGCTTCTCTGGAGATAATGATGATGTTGGGCTGCGCTCAGTTAATAAATTTATTATCTTGGGAATCCGCCCAGCCCTCTCTCTCTTGATATATATATCTATATAGTACCTATATCTCTCTGTTCAGATCTGCTTCCTATCCAACGGAAGTATCTCGTTGATTGTGAAATGGAGCCATGAATGGCCATGGCCCTGGCTGGAAAACGGGTCCGCAAATTTATTATGATTAAAGTTGAAAAGTTGAAATTGATGCCCCCCCGAAAAGCGGAATGGAATAGAGAGATGCTCTGTGGAAGTGCCTTTTGGGATTGAGTGGTTGGTTGTGGTGGTGGTGGTGGGGGTGGGAATATATCGAGAGATGGCGTTGAAGATAATCACGCCAGATGATCATAAATGACAAAATGCCCATAAAATGCAATCAAAGGGGTTTAAGAACACAATCTGAATCACAGCGAGATGGTGTGTGCGTGATTTTCCATTGAAGAGTTATGAAAGTTAGGGGAAAGGGGAAAATGAACTCTTTTTTTAAGTTAAATACTAATCCTTAACTAATCTTATTCACAGAATCAAAGACTTTAAGCTCAAACTCACCATAACAATAGTCCATTTCTTGCAAATGTGACGCAGCGCCTTTTTGTAGCATCACGGTTTCATGGTCCAGAAGTTCTTCTTGGGTTTCGTTCCGGTGGACAGTGCCACATTGCTGCTGCTGCTCATGGTCATGCCTCCTCCAATGCCAATGCCAATGCCACCACCGGTGCCTCCACCGCCTCCATTCATACCGCCAACGGGCATACCCACACCGGGTCCCATGCCCATTGATCGTCCCGAGGCACGTTGCTGATCCGCTGAGCAACGTCGCGGATAGTTAAAAGGCGACAGCGATCCACCGCCCACACCGCCTGACGATTCATGCATGGGCGCCAAAGTCATGCCAATGCCCTGATCTTCGCCACAACTGGCCATGCTGCTCTTGGATGTTGAAGTACCCGAGGCTGTCGAGGATCGGCAGCTGCGCAGATTATGGGGCAAGGTGTTGTTGTTCAGGCTGTGATGATGCAACGCCTGCTGGTGCTGGTTGTGATGATGGTGCATCGGTCCGGTGGGTGTGGCGGACTTATAGTACCGCAGACTCTCATTATAGCTGGCACCGCTGCTGCTGCCACTGCCACTGAATCCGGAATCAAGATCTCCCTCATCAAACTCCGGATTGATGCAGCTGCTGTGACCGTGATCCTTGAGCTCCATGCTGTTCAGGGTGCTCGATAGGTTCTCCAAGCTGGCATGCGAAGCGGAGCTTGAGTTCGAAGTGCCACCGGCACCAGCAGCTCCACCCAACAGGCCACCGCGTCTGGGCCTCTGAGCGGTCTTCGAGGGTCCCGCCACCACACTCGATGTCACCGATCCACCCACAGCTCCGGCGGATACCACCGATGTACTTGGCTCATCGCCGCCCAGAACATGACTGGGACTAACATCCGGTGGAGTTGGCGGCATTATCAGTGCCTCCAGCGAGAGATTGAGCTCGTCCAGAACTCTGAAATGGTTGTGCTGGACACGTCGTTGCTCCTCCTTTACATTGCCCGCACTGGAGCCACTGGCAATCCGGTTGTCGGAGAGAACTTTGCGTATCTTCTGATCACTCACCTCCTCGTACAGATTCTCGGTGGTGCCGTAGCGTGTGGTATAGGTATGACGATCCCGTTCCTCGGCACTGGGCGAACTTGAAGTGGATTGACCACCACCATGATTGGTGCTGCTCTTCGAACGGAAACTCTTGGCCAGCAGGGCGCGTATCGAGTTCCTTGGCGGACTCTTCGAATGGCCCTGATGATGATGGGCCTGACCCTGAACAGATCCGGAACTGGAACTCGAACCCTGGGCAGCTGGCACATTCGTGTGGCATTTGGCTGCTCCCGGCTCGTAGTAGGCATACGAATAAACATGATTAAATGGCGCCGACGGTGCAGCTGCCCCCGCCGAACCACTTGCTCCTGCTGATCCTGCTGAAACTGAGCCACCACCACCCACTGCTCCAACACCACCACCACCACTGCCGTTAAATGCCACATGCAGCGAGGGATTAGAGGCTCCACCGCCATGCGATGGCGTGGCACTGCTGCTGCTTGGCGTCATTACGCCGGCGGCAAATCCGTAATCCAACGATGAAGTGGACGACGAGGACTGTGTATTGGGCGTGGGCTCAAAGCGTTCCATGGTGGCGGCGATATTCTTGCGAGACCACTTGACCTGGTTTAAGAAAAACCGAACAGAGCGGAGGGGAGCGGGGAAGAAAAAGTAAAGATTAGGATTAGGAATATGTAAAGTGAAACCTTACACCCCACACCCCACACCGAGGCTTACCTGCTGCTCCACATCCATCTTGTGATTGCTACGCCGGCTGTGACCCCTTCTTCGGCGCTCCGTGAACGCCTCACCATGACTGCTACTGCCCATGAGCAACTGGTCTCCGATTCCCAGACCATTCTGTGATGATGCTGACGATGAGGAGGGCGCCGCCGGCATACAGAACTCAATGCTGTCCATGTCATCGGGAAAGATCAGGTGCGAGCCCACGTGTCCATGGCTGCTGCTGCTGCTGCTGTTATTGTGCGAATGCGAATGTGGATGCCCCAAGGTGGCTGCAGCATGACCATGGCCATGATTATGTCCCACCAAACCCATGCCATGATTATGACCCATGCCACCGCCATGATTCAGGGTCATTTGACTGGGATGCTGATGTGAGGCCACCACCCGTTGTCCACCGTGACGCATGGACATGGATCCACCGCTGCTTATTGACCCGCCACTCACTCCGCCCGACGGGGCACTGTGCACCGCCACCGATGTCGTCTGATGCGTTGGATGCTGATGCGGATGTGGATGCGGATAATCGCTAGCAAACTGCGGTGATCCGCAGCGATTCTGAAACTTGGCAGCCGCAGTCGCTGCACTTGCTCCACTTCCACTGGCCGGATACATTGTGTTGGAATCAAAACCAAAAGAGCTGCGATCGTTTGGAGTTTTCAGTTGGGGAAGATTTCTGCTTGCCTTTTCTCGCTAGAGAGAGAAGTCCAAAAGCGTGTTTAACAGCAACAGGAGTCGGGCATCATCTGTGGAGTAAACGGAAAGCCATTAATCAGCATGGAAAGTGGGAGAAGAAGATGGTTGGTCAAGAGGAGAGATTCAAGGGGAAGGGAGGTAGAATGCTGGCAAAGGAGGAGAATGCAGAGATGCATGACTGACATGCCATGCCAAAATCCCACAAATAAAAGCTGGAATTATGAGCAACACACAGGGAGAGAGATCCATCCACGACCAATACGACACCCCTGCATCCCGTACACCCCCCCTCTTGCAACTCACACCCGCACTCGCAGTCGATTCCAATTTATTTATGCGCAAACATTGTTGCCACACACTAAGTGACGGCCGAGAGGCACTGAGGGAAATAGTCTGGGAAGTGCTAAGATTAACAAATATTCTATTAGAAGATCTTAAAATTTGAGTATCTCTAAATTCAGGATTATATAGACAATTTTATGGGAAATATTTCATATTTTCCTGGAATATATCTCAAGTTTAATGGAACTTTAAGATTAGTTGCCAAAGTAAAGTTGAAATATTTGCTTTTGTGATGAAATTTTTCACAAATATGAAAGTTTTTCCATATTTTCATTCCATTTTCTTTTATAAGTTCTTGAAATTTTCATAAATTTCCTATAAATTTCCCAACTTTAGGTAAGTTTTTCTCAGAGTGTTGGCCAGGCACGCATGTAAAACATTTGGCGTTGGCATGCCAGGTCCCAGTTTCAGTTTCGGTTCCAGTTCCAGATCCCAATGTGTACAAGCAGTGGCCCACCAACCCCTTCCTTAACTCCAGTACCTAGTCCTACTCCTCTACCTCCTTCTTCTACTCCTCTACCTCCTACTCCTCCTCCTCCTCCTTCTCCTACACTACCCCCTCCTTCTTCTTCTTGCCACTAAATTGTTGCCCTTTCTCCACGAAATGCCATAAAACAGCATTAAAGCTATTAACAGTCAAAGGAGAAATGAGCCAGCCGGGAAGAAAACGAACGAAGAAGAAGGAAGGAAGGAAGGCCAACAAGAAGAAGAAGAAGCAAAAATAGCTAGTGACGAGAGCCACCCTTAGACCCCCCCAACCAACCCCCTCCCCATTTTTGTTTTAGGGAGAAAAAAACATAAATCAATCAGAGAGGGAGGGCAGGGCCGCCCTTTATGAGTGGCCCAGCGTGTGTCCAAGATAATCCTAGAAACAGACTGACAAAACAGGAATATATATAAGATATATATACTATATATATATACCATATATACCATATATATACATATACAAATTCAAGTAAGTAGAAGCACATGTAAGCCCAGCTCAAGGCCAAGTGGGCGGCGGGCAAAGGGCACGGGCTATTAACGTTCCGAAACATAATAAAACCATATCAAATATCGACTTAAGATGCCATGCTTAGACTATATACACATATATGTTTATATTTTTGTTTGTTTGTCTGTCTGTGGATTATATTGAGACGTCAAAGTCATTATTTACTGTACAAGCAGCAGATATTAATAACTTCAAAGCTATAAAAAAACAAGAAAAACAACTCATAAAAATTAATACCAAATAGATTTTGTTGATGGGAATATAAAATAGAAACCAAAAAAAGGGAGTAAGGCTGTAAAAGATCTCTTTAGGTTATTATTTTTAAATGAAATTTCTTAAATATTTATTTTTAAATATATTTTTTTTACCAAACAAATCAAAAATAACAACTAATTAAAGTCGAAAAACCTGTAAAAAAAAACCATTCAGCCGCTTAGCTAGGACTCACACCAAAAACTCTTTCATTGCAACGCCTCTCTCTCTCTCTCCCCCTCTCACTCTGCCTTCTCCAAAAAAGTAGGCGTGGCAGTAGCCCACAAAATCCAAATGAATTTCCCCCCTTTCTCTTGGCTGAATTTTTATTCCTGTTTTTCTATGCTTTTGTTTTTGGCCCTCACTCTGATTGATATATCAAATTGATAGCCATCCGCTGCTATATAGCTATATAGTCTTGTTGTTGTTGTTGTTATCGCTATTGTTGTTGTTGTAGGCATATAGGAATACCCAATTTCCATTGCCGCGTAGATATTTCTATTTTAACTCCCCCCCGGAAAACGCTATCTCTCTTTTATGCCCATCTCTTTTCCACTTAACAAAGCTACGAAATGTTTGTGCCTGCGTTTTTGCCTTTTTTTTTTGGGTTTTCACCTTTTTTTTTGGCTTTTTTTTTAGCTTTATGTTTGGCTTGGAGATGAGCATGTGGTGAGATTTTGGATAGTCAAGAGGTGATTGTTAGCTTGAAACTTTAGCTATTTGAAGTTAGCTTGTAAGTTATGGCAGAACAATTATTAGAGTCTGGCTTTTATTAGTGTGGCTAAAAGTATGCAATGTAAACTCAAATATTTTCTTCTGAGAACTTTTTGTTTACAATTTTTTTTTTTTTAATCACTTTCAGAGACTTTTAAGAGATATTTTAAATTGCTTTTGATTTCTTAGAGATCCCAAATCAAGTCAAAAATATTCTCTAAAATATATCTTATTTCAAATATATTTTTAAATGATTTTTAGAAGCTTTTAAAGGGGATTTTGGAAATATTTTTTATTTCTTGCAGATCCTAAATCGAGTTGGAAATATTTTTTAAAATATTTCTTATTTAATATATATATTTTTAATCATTTTTAGAGACTTTTAAAGGGAATTTAAAAATATTTTTAATTTCTTATAGATCCCAAGTCAAGTTAAAAATATTCTTTAAAATATTTCTTACTTAAAATATATTTTTAAATCACTTTTACAGACTCTTAAAGGGGATTTTACAAATATTTTTTATTTCTTGAAGATCCTAAATCAAGTTGGAAATATTTCTTATATAAAAATATAAAGTAAATCACTTTTGAAGTCTTTTAAGAGAGATTTTTGAAAGCACTTTTGATTTTTAAGAGATCTTCCAAAGAAGTTTAAAATATACTATAAAATATTTATGATATATATTATGATCTATGCACCAACTTCCTTTCATCTTTAGCTTTATACTCCTTGATTTTTCGCTGTTTTTTTCAAAGTTGGCTATATCTTTTTGGCCTTTTTTTTACAACGCTTTTTGCTTTGGCCGATTGCATTTCACATGCAAATTCTAACGAGTTGTTTGTGGTCTTGTCGAGGCGTTGCCAACAAAAGTAACAACAATTGCGATGCAAAAACCAATGATAACACAAGGCAACAACATCAACAACAACAACAACAACAACAATGACAACAATTTGCCGTTTATTTGCTGCATTTTTGCAACATTTTGATTTTGCCTGATTGAGTTGGTTTTGAGAGAGAGATAGAGCCCGCCCAAAAAACAAAAATCCAAAAAAAACAAAAATCGAAAAAAAAAGAAAAAACAAAAAGCGTTAAAAGGATAACGGGAAATGGAAACAATCGCATATTGATATGCATTTTTCAATTAAGATTTTTGCATGGATTCATAAAATGGAAAATGCAATGACTGGGCGGCTTCTTTAAAAATTTATTTTAGGAAAATATAAGTACTGGTTAAGATTTCCGCTTTTACCCTTTCTTTCTGAACTAATTTTCTTGCTATTCTTTTTTTTTTTCTTAAATTTCTGTAAGAACCAAGTTAGAGTCAAGGAAATAAAATGGTTTTCCTTCACTGACATCTTTATGGGATCCGATCGATCTGGCCAGTGAAAACAACAATTCTTCCTCCTCAGCAAAGGCAGGCAAACCTAACCCCCCGCCTTACCCAACCCAAACCCAACCCAAACCCAACTCCAACCACTTGCCTAATGCAATTTTCGAATGCAAAAGCCATAAAAATATCTATTTTAATCGAACACTTTGTAGAACTCTTTTACCAGTCAGCTATTTTCTCTATTTTTTTTTTTTTTTTGTATATTTGCCAGGTGAGAGAGGTTGGAATGGGGAGGCAGGGTGGTGACAGGCAGGGGCAAAAGCAATTTAAAGTCTGCTGAATCTTGGGTTCATCCTCTTCCTGTACGTTTTGGTAAAGGCAGTTAGAGTAGCAGCAACAGCAACAGCAGCACCAGCTGCAGACCAGGCCCAGAATGTATCTTATAGATACATTCCACCTCCTCTTTACCCTACTCCCATCATCCCACTTTACTCTGCATTTGAATGCCTCAGCTGCCTGCTGGCAATTCGATTTCATGCTGCAATTTAATTTGCTTCACTCTGGCCACGGCGGCATCGATTTGAAAAGCAAAAGTAACTCACAAGGCAAGGAGTTGCTTTCTCGCCTTACGCTCTGGGGTACAAAACTGGGTTTCACTCCCACAACTGCCACGCCCATGTGCCACCTAAGGGGAGCAGGGCAGGATATGGGCAACAGGTTCCACAAACAGGCGGGACTCATTAGGCGGCGATCGAGTCGAGCTAGGAAAGAACTCATGAGTGAGTACCCGGCAGTCGGTTGGTTTGTCATTAACACATTTTGTGCATGTTGTGCATCATTAGAGGAGCTATGGCGATGTGATGTGATGTGATGGGTTGGGAGGTGAGGTGGGTGGGTGGTTGGTTGATTGGTTGGTTGGTTGGTTGGTGGATGGTGGTTGATGGGTTCTGGATACCGAAGCTGATGATGATGATGATGGTGATGCCAATGGAGAGGCCGATGAAAGGACCAATACACCGCCAGAAATGACACTGAGCCGTTGGCTAAACTCAGACACAGTAGGAAAAAGGTTGGAAACTAACGAAATTTTTGTTTTAAAAAAAGAAACTATAACAAATTTTTGGTTTAAGGAGCTACAAAAACTGTTTTTAAGACTTTTAAAATGTCTTAATTTTAATTTTTTCCTATTTTTTATTATTTTCTTTATGCCTTCTTTAAAAATACTTTCTAAGACTTTTAACACATTTTCTAGCTAGTTTTGGGGTTCTTCTCGTAAGTTAAGCTCAGAAATCTATGCACGATCTTTTCTACATCTTTCTAAGCCATCTTCTAACTTTAACCTTTCTAATTAACCCAACCTTTTCTCTCCCTGTACTCAGCTCACATGTTTCGTTATTTCAACAATGCTCCTGACACGTGGCGTCTGCAGTTGGCCCACACACACACACACACATACCCATACCCATACCCATTTTGCGTTCCCTCTTCTTCCTCATTCTACCAACTGAAAATTATTCATTGATGTCAATGCCAAAGAGGAGATTTTCCTTGCCACTTTCCGCTACCCCTTCACCCCTCATCGCCCCCCTTTTCTGGCCCTGTGTTGTTGCCTTGAGCTCGCTTGGCTGCTGTGTTGCTGCTTCTGCTTTTCAGTTCCTGCCTTTGCTGCTGCCGCTGCTGCTGCTGCTGCTTGGCATGCATATGAAAATTGGCCAATTTGGCGCAGCGTTTGGCTTCGCTTTGTAGCTGTTGTTGTTGTTGCTGTTGTTGCTGTTGTTGTTGTTATGTGAGTGTGTGTGATTGTATTATGTGTGTGTGCGTGTGTACCGCTATACCATTTCAACCCCTCCTCCTCCTCATCCTCTCTAGCCAACAAACCTAGCTCCTGTATCATCAAGCACAGAGAAAAAATGAGATTAAATTTTTATTTTATTTCTTTCTAAAGAGGAGGAAGCTGTTTATGAAGATTTTTTATTTTTAAAAATATATGACAAAATCTATTTTATTATAAACAAATTTTTAAGATTTTTTAATCAAGAAAATGTTTATATTTTTCATATATAAGCCTTATAAGCCTTTCTTAGTTACAGAATGCAGTCCTTAAGATTTTACAGTCATTCCCTAATCATCCAGCAGTTCATACATCTCTCTATCCGCCTTTCTATCTAGCTCCCTCTATCCTTTCTATCTATCTCCATCTCTTATCTTTTTCCATATATAACTATCTATCTTTCTACCTATCTAACTCCCTTATAAAAATCTTAATTATTAACCTCCCAAAAAAAAACTTATTAATAATTTTTCCTTCTGTGTGCAATTTTCAGCCGCTCGCCATTTTGGCTTTTGTTTCCTTTTTGGTGGCGTCCTCCACGTAATGACTTTAATTAACATACATACACGAAACTTTTCGAGGGCGGCGGTGGCGGCGGCGGTACAGAGGGGGGGCGTGACAGGAGCCAGAGAAAGAGGTTGGCAAAGTGAGGTTGGTGAGGGTGAAGAGAAAGAGGAGAATTCCACTCAAGTGGAAGCTTTTTTGGCCAGAGAACCGAGAGCAGCTGCCGTAGCAAAAACACCCAAAATGTGGGCCACAACTTGGTGGCCAATTGCAGCTGCAACAACAAATTCATGAACAGCAGCAGCAGCAGCAGCAGCTGCAGAAGTGCCAGCAACTACAACAACAACAACAGCTCTTTGGCCAACAACAACAAACGCTTAATGAAAGGGAAATGCATTCGGCCAGCTGTTTTTCTTTCCCCTCAAGTGGGGAACTACTACTCGACCAATATGTATTGGTCAATATTTGACCAAATGAGTGTGAAAATTGGAAAGTCGAAATTGGTAAAAAAAAAATATTTGGAAATTAAATTAATACTTTGATATGGAGATTTTTGAGGTTTAAAGGGGAGGAAAGGGATGTTAATGTTTTTGAAAAAACCGAAAAATCTTTTAAGTTACTTCTTAGAAAGTATCAAAGAAGCTGGGAATAGCTGGCTTCACCTTTAAGACACCTTATATCGAGCTAGCACTAGGATTTTGGGTTTGGTGACCCCGATCCTTTACAATTATCAAGTGCAAAATGGTAAGCAACACCTTAATATTAGTTTTTACAACTTGATTTTTATTATTTTAAATGATTTTTGTATTGAAAGTAAATAATGAAAGCCTTTAACTTTCAAATACGATTTGGTGACCCCGATCTTTAGAAATTATGAAGTAAAAAGTAATAAAGACCTAAATATCAGTTTTTATAACTTCATAATCAATATTTCCCATAAGTTTAGTAATAAAAGTAATTAAACTGTTCTTGGGCTTATCAAATGGTATTTGGTGACCCCAATCTGTTAAAACTATCAAGTGCAAAGTAATAACAAAGACCTAAATGTAAGTTTTTATTAGTTCACAATCATTGTATCCTATAAGTTTTCTATTAAAAGTAGTTAAATCCTTGGTTTGGTAACCCCGATACGTTATAAATATCAAGCGATAGTTGGTCAGCCAGACCTTAAATTCGGTAATTCCCAATAAGTTTTCCATAAAAACAAAATAATAATCAAATCAATGAATTATTATTCCTTTTCCAATGAAATTTGGTGACCCCAAATCTAAGATTTTCCTACTTTCCCTTGAAATACAAAATCCCCCATACCTCCCTTAGCAAAATGAACCCCGGGCCTCTTAAATCTTGTTAATTTGCAATTGAGTATAGCGTATAGAGTGACATCGAAGCGTGTGACCGACCGTTACAAAAGGTCACTTGGGTTCAGAGGGAACCTTTAGTTCAACACCCGATAATCGCTTCGATATGTCTTCCTGACCCCACTCTCCCTGACCCACCTGTAATTCATACAACTCATCGAATATTTGATTTCCGGGCTCCTTCATCAAGTCGACTCCCCAGTGCCCACTTGCCCCCATGAACTCTGAACCGTAACTCCATTTCCACCATTTTCCACCCTCCCCTCCCCCTCCTCTCAGGCAAATCTAACCAAATGCCAACACAAATTTTGTTTGCCTTTTGTATTAGGTTGACAAAAATCAACAGCCAAACGGGGAAAAACAGGAGCCAAAAGATGAGCAGGAAAATTCTGTTAGGTGGAGAAGGGGAGACGGAGGAAAATCCGGTAGGAGGGGGGGTTGTGGCAGATTGTTGAAGAGATTTATGTTGGCACTACGCCCACACAGCAATAGCTAGAGAGAGAAAGAGAGGGATGGGTGCACCGAGCTGTTTGTCTTTCGCAAATGTTGGGCAATATTTTGCGGTAAAAGGTGAATTTATTAGCACTAGGAGGGGGGTGGGAGGTTAGAAGGGAAAAGCGAGCGAGCGAGCGGGTTCATTTACAGTTTGCCAAGGAAAACCTCGTACTTTTCGGCACAACAAATTTCAATCTAACTAGAAAGGAAACTATATACTCTATCAATAAGTCTTCGAGGGGAAAACTATGACTAACTAAAAACAAGAGACTAAAGTTTAAGATTTCTCCTCTTTGTTTATCAATTAAAAAGCAACCTTAAATCTCATGATTTTCCTCAAGATTTCCCTGTCTAAGAAATGTGCTGCTTATAGCCCAATTCTGTGGCAATTTAAAACACATTTTCCCGGCCTTAAGATCTTGACAAATCATAAACAAAACGCTCGACGGACGACGGCCAGCTGCAGATACGTTTTGTATCTTTTTTTTTTCTTTTTTTGGGAGGAAAAGTCATGGAAAACCTCTTACCCCCGGCAAATCACAATAAAAAGCCACACAGATGAGAAGATGCATATCAGAAATATTGAGCTGAAGATGCTGATGAAGAGACAGTGAAACGGGAATGGGCAGGGGGGATTATTTTTGGGGGCAACACAGAGAGATACGCATCTTTCGGATTGTTGTTGCTCCTCAAATTTTCCGCCCCCCATCTCTTTCTCTATTTGTGTGCGTTAAGCCGATTTCTGGGTTGACTTCTATGTTGCCACATAAAACACAATAAAAGTGATATAAAAAAAAAGAGAGAAGAAGAATCTGGGGTGATGACATGGAGAGGGGTGGGGAAAATATAAAGAAACTTTCATGTCAACGCTATCATTTTCCGAAATTCCAATAAGTTTGGTAACAGCGAATTGGAAGAACAAAAAAAAAAGTAAAGGTTCTGTTTTTTGGATAAAAAGATTTCCCCCGAAAATATCCCATACCACTCTTACCGAAATTTTTTCAAGAATTTTTCCAGTTTTTCTTCTTCTCCTGTTGCCAAACTTTTGTTTTTTGGATTCTGTAAATACAAACAAGAAAACGGGGGGAAAAAAAATATTAGTACAGAGTTGAAATTTAATTAGCATGCGTATACTTTTCAAGCTGAGTTTAGGGGGAGGGAGGTGAGAGGAAAGGAAAACTCCATCAATGATGGAAATGCTCACTGGGAATCAGTCGAAAGTCCAGTCAGCCAGTCAGCCAGCCATCCAGCATTGTACATCAAATGTGACTTACAATGTCAGACCAAATGAAATTTTCCCCCTGGTTTTCCTTTTTCATCATTTCAAAGTCAAATGTTGGATAAATAAAACACAGTTTTCTGTAGTTTTTCCCTCTTTCCGTTTTTTTTTTTCGTATTTTTTGTGTAGCTTTTCCTCAGAATTCATAATTGAATGTTTCTCTCAACTTTGTGGGGATGATATGGGATTTGCAATTGAATTAAATTCTGATGCCGTTTGTCTATGGAACTTTCCGGCTTTTCGGCTGGCTTCTCTCGCTATCTCTTTCTCTCGATTGGCCTCGGATTTCTGGGATTCTCGTTTCTCGTTTTCTGATTGAGATTTCTTTTGGCAGTAAACAAGGATAATTGTGGCCAGTTTGGAGCCAAAAACAGTTTGAGATACTTTTCTAGCAGTCGTCAGCTGTGGTTTTTTTTTTTCTTTACCTAAGGTTTAATTTCTGTGGGAAAGTCAGGTCAAGATTGAATGCAGGACTAAGATCTGTATTAGTTTTGAGTTTTATGGAAGGTAACCTTAAGTATTTCTAAACATACTTTTCCTACTTTTAGGTAACTAACTTTTCCCTATTTTCAAAACTAAATTCTCTATCAGGAAACCCCCAAAGCTCTACATCAACGCAATTGCCATCACTGCAGCCTGGCAAATGCTTTCTAATAAAAATATTTCCCTAAGCCGCTTCAACCTATATAAAAAAAAAAGAGCCAAAAAGAATGGAAAACCCAAATGGTCACAAAAGTCCAACTGCCAAGAGTCAAACCCCACAAATGTCATTGCAAAAATGTTTTAATTGAGCCAAGAATGAAAGCCAAGAATGGACTCCAAAAAAGGGAGAGAGGCATGAGGAAGAGGTAGAGAAAAGAGCAAGTGAAAGTGAAAGCATTTCCTTTACACAAATACAAATAAAATAGAATTTCAAACCGCAGGCAAACGTGCGTTATTCATTTTTGAATTTATAACACAATTGGGAGGAATGCGAATGTCGCCGTGGAAAATGGTGAAGAAGCAGAAGCAGGGGCAGGGGCAGGAAAATGGTTCTGAAGGAGTGAAAATGCGCAGCAAGAATAACTGCTCTTGCCTTTTGCCATTTTTTATTTTTCCCTTTTTTTCTGTTACTTTTTTTCCTCCTTTTTTTTTGTACTTTTTTTTTTTTTATTTCTTGCCATGAACATAAAAATAGGAATAAATAAGGATATGTGTGTGTGTGTTGAGGTTAGGGCAAAGGGAAGTCAAAGGAAATCGTGTCGCGGCAAATGTGACAGACTCTCACTCCCACTTTTCATCCAGAATTTTCCACACACACACGCACACACACCCACAAATGACTTGAGTTCTCGCGGTAAATTGACAAAAATGTAAAAAGAAAGCAGGCAGAAGGAATAAGCTCCTAAGAACTTGAACGTAACCTGGCGTAACCTGTGCAAATGATGATAATAATGATCATGATGATGAGCCACGGAATGTCGACAGTTGTTGAGTTTTTCCTTAGCTTTACAAAGCTTTCTTTAAAGTCAAAGGTTTTTCCGCAGTCATTTTTTATGTTTAAAGAAGGAAATTTGCCTTATAAATTGAAGAAAAACATAAAGGTTATCGAAGTAAGCTAATTATTAGTAACCCTAGCCCTAACCCTAACCCTCCTTATTTCCCTTTTGTTTTTCTTTGCGATTTGCATCCTTTTCCCTTTCTTCAACTACCCCCTAATCAATGGCCAATTGTTAATCAATGATCTGTGCTGGAAATTAATCGTCAAAGAAACCGCCACCGAAGTCCTACATGTCTCATTTGATTCTCCTTTTATTACATTTTATTTTCTATGTACTTTTTTTTTTTTTTGGGTTTTGAATGTCGGAAGACCCGCAGCTGAGCTTCCAGAGAGCAACCCTTTTTTTTTTTTTTTTTTTTGGGCCACTGTGAGTCATGTTCTTCTTCTTCTTCTTCTTCTTTTTCCACGGGGGTAAGGGGTTTATGTTTACCCACAGATAAACAAACTTGCAGCCAAGGCAAAGAATTTTGATATATGTAGTACCACCGTCAAAGCTATTACCATATACAGTAGAGGTGGCAAAAATAGTTACACTTTAAACCAGGGGTGCTTGCTCAACGCCTATGCTCTAAGTGCTAATTTGTTTTTTTGTAAATAATCGTTGCATCTGAACTGGCTTGCCTATACGTTTTGAGTGCTCGCTGAGCTTTACACTAGCAATTTTTCCCCTTTCCCCTTTCCACATCTTTCCGTCGCCAACTGTAATGTAATTTGTTTTTGTTTCTTCCTCGATCATCCTCAAACTCCTTGCTATTACAGTAACAATTTTTCGTTTCTCTCTATCCGCCTCATTCCGTAATATACATACAGTTCCTCGATCATCCTCGAACTCCTTACTATTACACTAACAATTTCTCGTTTTCTCCTTTCCGCCTCATTCTGTCACCAACTACAATGTAATTTGTTTTTGTTTCTTCCTGAATCATCCTCAAACCTCTTGCTATTCCACTGACAATTTTTCATTGTCCTCTTTCCGTCTCATTCCATTGCTAACTGTAATGTAATTTGTTTTTGTTTTTCTCTCGATCATCCTAGAACTCCTTGCTATTACACTAGCAATTTTTCGGTGTTCTCTTTCCGCCTTATTCCATTGCTAACTGTAATGTAATTTTTTTTTGTTTCTTTCTCGTTGATCCTCGAACACTTACACTGGCCTTCAATCCTTATACTTTCTTTTTGCACTTTAAAGTTTATTCCGCAGTGGACTATTTGGTGAGTCTGTAAAACGAGTGATGATTTGCTTAGCAATAAGAAGTGTTTCTTTTTCTCTCAGTGCACCGTTGCAAACCAACACAGAAGTGGCACTAAATATGTTCAAGCTTTCTTGTATTTGTCTTAGCAAATGCTTTGCCGTGAGACGAATTTCTGAAGCTCTGCCTAAAAAGTAGATAGAAAACCCTTTTTAAAACTCAACTTTAAAAACAACTTGAACTTTTGCTCCTACTAACTTGCGTGTTACTGTAGATAGGGTGTACTTATAAAAGTACCCACCCCTCCTACTTTTTTCCACTACAATCAACCAAAGACCAAGACGACGACCTTGTAGGGGAAATAATAAAATGAAAAAAAAAAATGTGAATATATATTGAGCACACACACACACACACATACACCCTTACTCTTACACCCATGAGTGTGCAAATATGTGTGAAATTTATTTGCCACAGCTCCCCCTCGCTTGCCTTCCCTAGAGGGTTGTTAAGGTTGGTTGTGATGTTGAGTTTTCTGTTCCGCCCGTATCCGTGGCATATATCGTATATATATCACCGATACAACCCTTTCCCAGGGGTAGCCCTTAAACAATACCCCCCTCTACACCCTCCTTAAACCCTTTCCTTTTGCTTGTTTAAAAATCACTTGATTGCACAAATGCTCATTGAGCTAATTTTATTTCGTGTACGGGGAGGAATATAAAAAAAAAAACAACAAGAAAACCCCCCCGAAAAGGCGATGGCAACTTGAGCCACGCTTTACATTTCATAGGATTCCGATTTCCATATGGCCAAAATGAGAAAGAGAGAGGGGGAGGTGGGTAAAGAAGGTAACGAAGCCCTACTACCAAACTTAACTAAATTATTAGCCGGCCACCTTTGACCACTCAAAAACAGAAAGAAAAAAAAAACAAAGTGAAATGCTCAGCAATGTGGAAAAATGTGTTGTCCTTAAAAAAACAAAAGGTTGTCGTTTAGGGGAGTTTTGGGGGAGGAGAACGATGAGAAGGAGCAGAAGGAGGAGAAGCAGCAGTACACAGGCAAGGTAAGTTGATCAAATTACCAGAGAAAACCCGAATTGCTACTCCGACTTTGATGCACTTGAGCCGTGTCAGAAGTAGTCACAAAGTAAGTAAAGTATTGTCCCTTTTCTGCCCGCCTTTGTTGTTGACCTTTCCTGGGGGTCACTTTAATTAATTACACGAAATGAGTTTTTGTTTATGGGCGGGGGAGGAGGAAGGTGGCCAAATTACATGGCTGGAGAGGAGGAGAAAACAGTGTAATGGCTAGCCTAAAGATGGCTTGTCAAGGTGAGTTTGTTACATATCTTTAAGTGGGTTTCCATCTAGAAACAGTTTGTAATGGCTAAAATTTAACAAGAACTTATCTTTTTTAGGCTTACAGTTTATTTTAAAAACAATTTTAATAACTTAAATACCAGAAAAGCCCCCAGCTGACTCTTTCTTTCATTCCCAAAAACCAAAAATATTTCAATCTAGTTTAGTTGATTGGCCAAAAACTTATCTAAAGAAGGGAGGCGGCAGGGAGGTAGGTAGGTGCAAACCCTTGCTGAGATTGACTCAACAAGCTAGTAGTTCGCACTTGAAATTAGTTTCCGAGTGCGTGACAAAGTTTTCCATCTCAAGATCCATCTATCTGCCTTTTGCAATTTCCCTTAGCCCGTCTCGCCTTTGAACTTTCATTACAAAAAGAAAAACTCCAAAAAGCCAAACACACAAAAAATTCTCTCTCTCTCTCTCTCTTGCAACTTCTTTGGCCAGGGCCATGTTTGGCAATTAAATCATTTTGACCATAAATCGAATTTCCCAACACTAGTGTGTGTGTGTGTGTGTGTGTGTGTGTTAGCCTCAGTGTTAATCCAATTAACTTGGCTTGCATCAAACACATTCCTTTCCACCTATAGAACGAAGGCAGAGACGAAAGAAGAGAGCGAAAATAAATAAAGAAATGAAAACAGTTTCAAAGAAAACTCAAACTTCAAGTTTTATAGTTCCCCTCCGTTCCCTCC